AGGGGAGCCATGGAGAAACCAATGAAGCACTGAGGAAGGAGGTAGGGGCATTCTCCTCTGTGAAAGCAGCTTTCTCATGGATCCTTATTGTACTACCCCGAGGCCTCTGCCTCCTGGGCAGCAGGGAGCCCTGTGAGAGACTAGGGCAGAGGTACAGAGGAGACACTGGTTCTTGTCCCACTGGCTCCTGGCAGTTCTGGCTCCATTTGCCACCTCTGAGACACATGGGAGCACGCACCATTGGGTAACACTTGTTACCTGGCTTGTTCTCGTGTGCATTGAGAGGCTCCCCAGGCCACATTTTGGGCAAGGGTAAGTTAATTCGGTGGCATTACTTGTATAGAGTCTGTTTCCTGGGAGTACATTTGCAGCCTCTTTTTTCTGGCTGTTTTCAAGCTGGCAAATGCTTCCCCTCCCCATCTCTGAAAGGAGCAATGTGCTTCTCTCTCAGTGTAGCCAAGGGTGCATTGATGTTTGCCATTGGGATGGATACAGCTCTACAAGAGTCTTATGATAAAGTCACCTCCCTTCCTCACTGGTTCTTGCCATGCTGGGGCTGGCTTCACTGGTTTGGTGGCTTTGTCGCTGCCATTCCCATGGGAAGCACACGTCTCCTTTGGCTGTGCATGTTCCTCCCTGTGCCTAGGCCCAAGGCTGGCAGATGCAGCGTGTTAGTCTGGCCTCAGCACCTTGCTGCCTGCGGCTGAGCTGTTCTCTCCCATCTGTGGCGCAGGTCCAGTCCCTGCGGGCACAGCTGGAGTCCTGCCGGGCCCGCAATGAGAGCCTTCGGGATGCTGCCAGATCCCAGGGGGAGAGCCACGTGCCTCAGGGATACATCTCGCAGGTGAGCAGGGCCAGGGTGCGGGATCGGCCCAGGAAGTGATGGCTCTGGCTGCCAGGCAGGTATTGCTAATCATTGGGTTGCTGTGGTGACACTAACTAGCTTCAGTTGTAATCAATGTTAATTACATAAAGGCCAGCGTGTGTTGCCTGGCCTTAAAGGAACCCGAGAGTAAATGGCGTGGGAGAGGAGGAGAGTTAGGCAGGCACCGTGTCCTGCTTTGCGCTCGCGCAGGCTGGAACGAGCTGTCTCCTCTCTTGGAACAGACTGAGCTCCAGAGGCGCGAGGCTGCATGGCGCACGCCAAGGTTCCTGTTCCCTCCTCAGATGTGTTAAACATCCCACAGTTCAGGACGCACATCTGTTTAAGTGCTGCAAGCTGTGGCCTTGCAGCTTTAATCCTATGCTGTGTGGCTCTGGGTGATGAAACCTTCCTCTGGCCCTGCCAGAAGCAAGCTGTGCCGCAGCTCCCTCCTGCCAAAGGACCGTTGCAGCGTTGCGGAACAGAGATAGCAACTTTCTCCTGAGCTTGCTCTGTGTTCACCAGTGATTTGCACATGGCTGTCACCAATAGGGGCCCGCTGGAGGAGGAGGCTCCCTTCACAACAGAAATCACTCCTTAAAAGTAGTCTGTCAGGCTGTGGGGAGCTCCCTTCCCTGCCAGGGCCGTGCAAGCACTGAAGGTCACCTCAATAGCACAGCCCATAGGTTTGCTGGAACAGCACGTGGTAAACCCTGCAGATCAGAGTTTGCTCATGCTTCAGCCTGTTGATTTACTTTTTTTTTTCTTTTTCTTTTTTTTCCCCCTTGGACTTAGCCAGTGGAGGAGGAAAAGCAAATGGGATCAAATTTGGCAGCATGTTCAGCACCCTTACTGGGGGAAGGGAAGTAAAATGTGCCCTGTGTAAAAGGAAGCTGTAGTTTGACCTCAATAATGAGATTTCAGGGCTTGTCTTAAGTGTTGAAAGAACCTCTAGGGGAAGGAAGTTCAGGCTGGTAACCAGCCCGTTGCAGTGGGGTTGCTGTACCTAGCTCAGATAAAGAAAGCCACAAGTCACGTGGCACGCAGCGCAGCCAGTCACCTGTCACTCTGTGATCTTGATTGCTGTTAACCACTTAAAGGCTTCTTTATGGTTAAATAAATGAAAAAGGAGTGTGAAGAAAAGCCATCTTATCCCCCTAATTACTTGGCCTCAAAGGGCCAGTGAGGGTATGTGAATAAAAACAGCTCCTTTCCCAAAAGGGATCTTTGTCTTAATTTGCCAGTGTTCACCACAAGTTTGTGGACAAACCGCAGAACTGATCCCTCACCTTTTCCTCTCCTTTGTTTGAGCTGTGAAGCAGTTGCCAGATTTCCTCATCTCAGTATGGAGGAGCAGCGAGGACATATATCCCCACCACACATCTCTGTTCTTAATCTCAGCATTTTCTTTGCTGCTGGAAGAAGGAATGGGACAGCACGGGGCTCTCAGAGAACACCATAGCTCTCCACTGAGGTCTTGGCAACCTTGGCTTTTTAAAGTCATGATCTGGAACAGTTTGGCATATAAATCCTTCCCCAGGGGCTGGGGGCAGCACTGCTGGCGTCTGCAGTGAGTCTGGTCACACAGCTTTTGAGATGGGAATTGCTCCGTTTCTGCAATACCAGTAAGCTCCAGCAGTCAGGCTTTGAGAGAACGATTTTGCTGGTCTCCTTCTGCACAAACCCATCAAAAAGGGATGAGTTGCATGAGGAAGATCCCTAAGTTAGGCTTTGGGGAGGGCTCTTTAATAACATCTGACCGAGCTGGAGGGGAATGGAAGGTGTCACTTTTCTGAAGAGGCTCAGCTTTCACTGATTCTGGGGAATGCTGCTTCATTTAAAAGGCAAATACTGATATGTGGTTCCAGTCTTTACTATCCTTGTGTCAGGCAGGGTAGCCTGGTAGAACGGTCCTGGCCATGGTGTTGGAAGTGTTATTCCCAGCTCCCCTGTGTCCAAAGAGAGACCTTCATGTCTTGGTGACTCAGTTATAAGGAGAGGAAGAGGAATGTTTCTTCTGCAAACCACCTGAAGCTGTGAAATGGCCCCATTAAACACTTGTGCCCAGCAATAAAAGAAGTTCCTCAGTTTCAGAAGGAAAGCCTCATCCTGAAAGGTGGTCTCGTTTCTCTCAAAATGGCCCTGACTCTGAGTGAGTGAGGTCTGCAAAGCCAAACATCAGCATGGCCAGATGCCAACTGTAGGCTCAGCCTTTCCTCCCTTCTGCGCGTCTAGGCCTTGCAAGCCCCTCACTCCTGCTGTCCTTTCCCTGGCAGGAGGCTTGTGAGCGCAGCCTGGCCGAGATGGAGTCGTCCCACCAGCAGGTGATGGAGGAGCTCCAGAGGCACCATCAGCGGGAGCTGGAGCGGCTGCGGCAGGAGAAGGAGCGGCTCCTCGCGGAGGAGGCCGCGGCGACAGCAGCAGGTAGGGCTGGAAACCAAGATGTGCCCCGCTCAGGTGGGTCCTCCCTCCTCTCCCAAATGCCTTTCACTTGTGCCAGAAACTGTTTATACCACTGCCCTCCTCCTCCCAGTGTTGGAACCCTAGAAATTCCAGACTGAGGACATTGGGTATGGTCCAATTGGATGCTGAGGACCCTGCTTCCTAGGTGTCAACATGGCCCCAGGTCTCTGGGTCTTCAGGAGCAAGAGTTTGGTGAGTTCCCTGGCTAATCCCACATCTGCTTTCCCCTTCTGCAGCTATTGAAGCACTGAAGAAAGCCCATCGAGAGGAGATGAATAAGGAGCTGGGGAGGACACGCAGCTTTCAGCAGGGTGGTGCAGGTGCAGAAGCCCTCCAGAAGCAGCATCAGTAAGAAATCTCTGCTCCCTCTGCCTTTCCCAGTGCCCACTGCCCTAGCCAGGCCCTTTGCTGATCCCCATCGCACCCCACCCGCGCGACCACTGCCTCTAGCTATCCCTGTTGCTGCTTTCCCAGCAACTTTTCCAGGCCATGGCATGCCAAGCAGAGTGCCAGGGTTGCTGGAGGGTAAGATAGGGAGATTCATTCCCTGTTTGGTACCAGTAAAGTGGGATATGCCCAAAGGAGGATAAACAGCCACCCAGCACTCTAGCACTAGCTGAGGTTGTGTTCTCCCCCACTGCTTTCCCTCAGCTTGTTCTCTCTGTTTTCCTTCTGCATAGCTGCTCCATTTCTCCCACAGTACATAAAGCTCCCAAAAGCACTGTGCTTCTGTGGGAGACAGATTGAAGCCTTAATCCATAAGGAACTTTTTTTTTTTTTTTTTTTTTTTTTTTGTAACAGTGACTGTTGGAAGCTTTGGGAAGATGATGTCCACTCCATGGGAAAACAGGGCCAGCGCCCAGGGGACAATTGGGAGGGGAGGGCAATGGGGGTGGCAGAGGAGTGATGTCCTGGCGCCTCTTTGGCAGGTTGGACGTGGATTCCCTGAAGCGGGAGCTGCAGGTGCTCTCAGAGCAGTACTCCCAGAAGTGCCTGGAAATCGGGCAGCTCACAGAGAAGGCGGAGGAGCAGGAGCAGATGCTGCAGCGCTCTCAGCAAGAAGAGAAGGAGCTGCTCCGGCAGAACCAGGCGAGAGAGGGGCGCTCTCCCTGCCAGCAGAGACCACAGAGCACATTCCTCCCACGGGGGGCTGTCTCTTGTACAGCACGCCCTATCTGTTAAAATTCCCCTATTTGTTCATGTTTCTCCTCTCCAAGATTTTATCAAAAAGGAAGAAAAAAAAAGAGGGGGAGGGATGGTAGCTGTAGATGGGCCTATCCTATGGAGAATCCTTGCTGCTGGAGGAACAGACACAAGTTATGGGCAGACACAATTGCAGAAAGGTCTATAAGCTGGGGAAGGGGTTGGTATGAAGACTGAGTCCCCTGGCAGGGCCCGGTGCAGCTGAGAGACTTGTGTCATGGCCATGCTGACATACTTTACTCTTACTCCCAGGAGCTACAGTCCCGCCTCTCGGAGGAGATAGGGAAGCTGCGAAGTTTTATTTCGTCACGGTGCTCCGGGGACCGCTCTGCACAGAACAACGAGCGAAGCTCCTGCGAGCTGGAGGTAGGGAGGTTGCTCTAGCCTGCCCAGTTGCCATGGGCCCTCGAGTGCTCACCACAGTTTCATCCGGGAGCCATCCTGTGCGAGGGAGTGGGCAGGAGGAGGGGGCAGTGGGGTCAGGGAAGCACCGGGGCTGGTGCAGGAAGGAGGTACGCAAGCTTCCCCTCCGCAGCTCTCCTGGGGCACCTCACATCACTTCCTTTCCTGCCCTGGCCCTGCTGGCCCTTCCTTCCTATTCCAAGGTCGCACGCATGCAGAGACCCGGTGCCCATGGCCGTTTCCAAGGCAATCACTCTCAGCTTCCCTGCCTTGAGTCATCTCTGGTTCCTCTCCCCCGTGTCTGGTCCAGGTACTGCTGCGGGTGAAGGAGAACGAGCTCCAGTACCTAAAGAAAGAGATTCAGTGTCTCCGGGAGGAGCTTCAGATGATGCAAAAGGTATGTGTTTTCCAGGAGCCATTCCAGCCTGCGTCCCAGGGCCAGGCACTGATTGCCTCGCTCAACAAGTGGTGGGAAAGCAGCAGAGGAGCAAGCTGAAGGAAGGAAGCACCATGGCTGCGTGGCAGCAGGTCTGAGTGGACTAGCACTGAATGGACCCTCAGGTGAAACAGCTGCAAGCCCAGAACAGCCCTGATCTCTGAACAGTACAGGGCAATGCAGACTGCTTGGGAAAGCACTGCAACCTCAGGCTAGGTTTGGCGGGGAGATACCTCAAAATAGTTGGGGACCTTGGTAGCTGCTTCGTGAGTGAATATGGTACTTACACAAAGCAGGGGAATGGCCAGGAGCCCTTCTTTGCCAGGGGGGAAAACCTGGAGAAGCCTGCGCAGCACTTTGATTCCCCAGCCCCCTCCTCTGCTCCCTGTCCAGCCTCTTCCCAAGGGCTAGCCCTCTCTCTGTGTTGATGTGTTTCCTTGGGCACAGAGGCTAGATCTGCTGCCCTCTCTGCTTCTCCAGTGGCTTCCTAGCTACAAGTGCCTCTGAGCGCAGTGGCTTCTGCTGCATTCCGTGTTTCCAAACCATGATGAGTAAATTGCTGCCAGTCTGAGGCCATGATCTCTGGGACAGACAGTGGTGGCAGCCCCTTTCAGAGGGTTTCCAGTGAAAAGTGCCCTGCCGCAGCAGGGAATCTGAAATAAGCCGTGACAATCAGTGATGACCTCCCAACTTCAGAGCTTAACTGTTTTAAGCTTTTCACCATTTCAGTGGCTGGTACCAGCTCTTTCAATATTCAGTAGCCCACATCTCTCATCTTTTTTTTTTTTTTTTCTCTCTGTGTGACTGGCACAGATGCACATGAGCAGTATTGGAGCCCCAGCTTCCTGCTCAGTTTGATGCCCTCATTCCACATTGTTGTGGAACCAGTGACTGTGTCTTCCTCCCCAGCATAGGTTAGGAGAGCACCCTGTGCTTTGAGAAGTGGTACCTTAGTCCTTTCTGGTTTTCCAAATGGTTTCTGAATGGCTCAGTTTGGCCTGCTGTGGGCAGCCCGGCTGAGCCTTTCTACCAGGCTCCCCTGGCCTGCAAGGAGGGAGAAGCAACTTGAGCTGAGCTTCACTACTCAGGCTGGATCTCCCTTCAGCCACTGGCCTTTCTCCCACTAGCCTCTCCTTGCCATCCCCTCCCTGGAGCAAATACCAGCACAAATACCGGCTTCAGGATTGCTGACTCCTCTCCCTCCCTTGGCAGGATAAGCGATTTGCCTCAGGGAAATACCAGGATGTCTATGCAGAGCTGAATCACATTAAGGTGCGCTCAGAGAGGGAGATTGAACAGCTGAAGGAGCATCTGCGCCTGGCAATGGCGGCCCTGCAAGAGAAGGAGTCGCTGTGCAACAGCATCAGCAAGTAACGGTGAGCAGCAAGGGCTGGAGGCATCCTGCTCAGGAGCTGGCAGCTGGGACTCTCTGCCTTGATGTGAAGGGAGGTGGCTGAGGGGGACAGAGCCAAGGGCCATTCCCCCTGCCCCGCTCAGTGCTGCAGGGCTGACTGCCCTGACTATGCTTCTTGCAGACCCCTGGCTCGCACCCCTGGTCCTGGCCCTCCTCTTGTCCCTGATATTCTCTCCTCAATGTCCTTGTCTCTCTTCACCCCATGCTGCCCTCGATGCTTGGCTGCCTTCCTGTTGCCAGCACCGAGTGCCACTAAACTAGGCTGAGGGGTAGGAGCTGGCCCCATGCCAGCCTTTACCTTGCAGTTTTTGTGGGGACACTTACCTGATAATCTGCTCCCCGCATGGGTAATGTTTCCTCTTCATTCACCTTTGAAGGGGCTTACATACCACAGCAGGAAATCTTGGGTCTGCACCAAAGCAGCCCTGACTCCAGCTAATCATTAACATTTACTCTTGGGGTTTCCCTGATGCAGGTGACTATATGTGGATAAGGAAGTGGAGTGACAGGGCGCTATGAAGTGAACAAGGGTGCCCTGTTATCCAGAGCTAGTTTGTGTCTTGCCTGGATGCAGCAGCTGTCAGGGTTGGGGTTGGGCAAGGCTAAGGTCTCTAGCAGATGGCTAAAGGGCCGTGCTCGTGGGTAGCAGAAGGGCAGGGGTGTTTCTGCACTCACTGGGATCCTTCTAAACATTTTTTTTTGGTCTCTCTGTTTCCTCCATAGGTCTACTCTTCATCTGTTTATCTGTTCTCTTTTTTTATTTGCTCCATTCCTCACTTACGGGGAGGGAGAGGTTGAATCCCATCTGTAATCGCCTTGGCAAGAAATCTCCCTTTCCCATGCAGCTTCCTCACTCCCCTCCCAAAGCTTTCAATGAAGCCCTTCCAAACTCCTTTCACCTGCGTATCTGAGCACGTTGTTTGGACTGGCTCCTTTTGTGCACCTTCTTCAGGATTTTATATGTGGAAAAAAATATATTTTATAGATTTTTTTTTTTCCCTGGAAAGAGGAGGCATAGGAGGGGGAAAACTTTTTACATCACCAGCATCTTCTAACCTGAAAAAAAAGAATTTGTTTTCCCTCCTCCCCAGCCGCATTCCTCTTGATCACACAGCCACCTTCAGCTGGACTTGTTTCCTCCCTTCCAAATGTCTCTGAGGCCCTGCTGGGACATACTGCGAGGACAAGGCTCCCCCCACGCTATCCCCAGGGACCTGCAGACAAGACAGACAAAAACCATAGGAGGGAGCTAACGGGCAGTCTGCCATGGATATGCTTCAAAAGAGGAGACCTTGGCAAAAGGCCGCCTGATGAAGTACTCTCAGAGACTGTCCTTTGGCTCCTTCATGAACTGAGTTGGCAGGAGCCTGGGGCTGTGGGGACCTTCTCCCAGCTGCCCTCCATTCAGGACAGGGGAGATCCTGTCCTCTCCGGCGAAGAGGAGCTGAGAGGCTGCTACTGCCCCCACCCCAGCCAGCTCTTGAAGGTGACAGCTACTGCTCTGCTGTGCAGTTCAAATTTTAACTTAATAAAATCTTCCCATGTCACTGAGTAAAATGCATTCGGAGTGTGGAAGGCTTGCCAGGGCTTCCTAACCCTGTTCAGTGGGGGTAGTTTTTCCTCTGCTCTTTAGTGCCAGGTTTGTGCATCAGTTTGGAGCAGGCATGCTCTAAGCTAACTTTGCAGCTACTGTTAAATGCAGAGTTTGCTTCTTTCTAGTTCATAGTGCTGAGCTGTGTATCTCAGGCCCCAGCGTTACAGCTCTTGCGTGGCTTGTGTAGACAGATGGTTCTGTTTGCTCAGGGTTTCTCCTGTGCTGGAAATGTGCACAGGAATGCTGATGGCCACGTCCCTTTCTCTAACCTTGTGGAAGGACAACAGTATTCACCCACAGCTGGAGAATGAGAGAAGTGATGCAGCATAGCTGTCCAGCTGTTTGTTCCTCCTCTCCTTGACTCTGGGGGGAAATAATCTGTTTTATGTCACCTGTCCAAAAGTCCCAGCCCTATGGCAGAAGAGCCTGAGATGAATCAAATGCTGCCATGTCTTGTTTAATGTCTCTTTAGTGGGAGACAGAAATCTAGTGCAAGCTACTGGAAAAACAAAGGGCACGCATAAGAGGGCAGGTCAGAAGGTCTCAGGGAAGGGGGATAGAAGCAATCTGAAATACATCCCTCCCTCTTGTTTCTGGGTGAAAATGTATTGCTCTTGGAGCAGGGGTGGGGGGAGTCTGCCTGGTTGCTCTGGTATGGGAGGATGCAGAACCTACCAGTAAGTGCTCCTTGCTCAGCTGGCCGAGCTGCACTGTAAACATAAACTTCCACTCTGCAGAGAGGCTTCTGGCAATTTGGAAGGAGCCGAGCTAGAAACATTGCTGGCTTGTGCAGCAGGCTGGAGGCGCCATTTGAAGAGGGGAAGGCAGAGGGGTCAAGGAGAGCTCTTGGAATGAGTGTGGGCCTCCAAGAAGATGGATGTGTCAGCTGGGACACTAAAGCACTGCGATGAGCAGGGGTGAGGAGATTTCAGTGTATAAACAGAAGTGGGGCTTAAGGACACTGTCAACTGCTAGGAGATGGGTTATGTCTGAGTATTTGCTGGGCTCCTGATAACTGGTATAACCATGTAGTGTAACTAGTTGGTAGCTTAGTCTCTGAGGCAACTTTACTGCTGGGAATAAAGAAGAGAGGGATGATGTGAAGCATATACAGTACCACTCCTCTGCGAGTAGGCTGCATGGCTGCCGAGTGGGGCAGTAGGGTGTACGAGTCGCCCTTTCTGTGTGTGCGTGTGTATGCTTGTGTGCATCCAGAGGATTTGGGCAGAAAAGCTCCTGTTTTGCTGACTGCTCTGCTTAGGTAAGAGAAGCCATTCAGTAGGTCACACATTCCAGTAAAACTGGGTCAAAGGCTTTCATCATCCTCGAAAGGGAGTTGGGCAACACACCAAATGGTGCAAGAGGCAGCGAGCTGAGCTCAGCTCCTGGCCTCCTAGGGGGCTGAACCAGGACCGGCTCTGCTCTGCTTCATGCCCACGCTGATGTATGATCTGATCGTGCTGAGCAAACGGTTTGTTTGGCCTGGCGCTACGGGAAGCCCTCGCAGGAGCCCCTCTGTAGCCTGCTCCAGGCCTCAGCAGCCTCCTGGAGGCGAGCGCTTCCCCTCGCCTCATGGCAGCCTGCCTCCCCCTGGTGGTTACGGAGGGCTTCAGGCAGGGAGAACAGCAAAGTCGACAGCACTTCCTGCGCGGAGAACTGCCCTCTCTAGCGGTGCCCAAGGTCTCAGCTTTTCCCTTGATATTTAGTACTCTGTTGGCCTAGGATGGGAAGGAAAGAGCTGACACATCAGCAAAAGGCAACTGCGTCCAGATGATGGAGATTAGTCCTGCCATTAGGGATGAGTAGTCATCAAGCTAGGAACAAGACATGGAGTTTAGGGACTTGTCTTGCAGGTGGCAGGGATATTCGCACTTTCTTTTCTTTTAGAAAAAGGGGGTTGCCTGTCCCAATAGGAGACGGAAGACGGGAGAACGACGCACATGCAGTGCCTGCCACCGGCAGGCTTCCCTGCCTGCCTGGGTGCCAGCCTGCATGAGGAGATCGGCACCTTCCTCCACACCCCAGCCCTACTGCTGTGTTAGGTGCCAAATTAGCAGTGTCATATCCCACCCCCAGGGACGGGAACCTCTGGAAGTAGGATACTGGGTGAGAGAAGATGCTATCCACAGGAAAAAAAAAGGAGGACTAACAGTAAAGGCAGCATTTGATTATGGCCTGCTGTTCACCAGCCCCCTCCTCAAGGCATTTGGGATCTCAAACGTGTTTTTTCTTTCTTCCTCTTCCTGCCTGAAGGCTGTTGGCCCAGATAAGCATGTCAGACAAGCACAGTCAAAATGTGTCAGTGCTTGACATGAGGTCTAGACGCTCCTCCTCAGGGCTGCACAGCAGCAGATCAGCTGTCCCTCGAGACAGACCGGCTAATCATCTCGAGGCGACACGTTTCTGTGCTCTGGAATGCCCCTTCCAAAACCAGGAGTAAGTTAATCAAGTGGCTCCCCTGTCAGAGTGTGGTAGGATGATACTGTCATTTCTGTCTTTGGGGCATTGCTATCTTCTGGGTCCAGAGGAACCAGAGGAAAGGAGTGGGGGTGGGGAGAAGAGTCACCCGAAATGTCCTAAGTAAAGGAGATAACAGCCAGGGGGAGGCCCTGTCTTCATGGCACCTCACGTAGCCCCTCAAACTTCCCGAAGCGATGGCTGAACAAACTCCAGTCACCTGTGATTGAACTGTAGGATTATGGCCAACAGAAATGTCCCAGCCTCAAGCAAGGGGAGAAACCACAGCCGTGACTGGCCGCGTAAAAGTGAACAGTCTGTGTAATTAAGGAGCCACCTGCTTTTAAAAACTACCTCATAATTCTTTTAAAACACACTGTCATAACCGCTCCATCAGTCTGAGGCCACTTGTTGGAGAGGTTGCTGGTGCCTGTTTAAAACCTCTATTTGTTCTAGCAGAGTGCAATCATCATTGTAATGATAGACCCAGGGAAAATTGCTTCCATGTTTGGCTTCATCCCTTCCACAAAATGCCACTGAAAACTGCTTCCGTGTTAAGCCTTTTGAAAATTTTAATACCCCTTCACAGTTTGTTGCCATCATTAAAGATGCGGTGCTCTTTGTGGCGATGGGGGCTGAGCTGCTCTCGCTGACCAGCGCTGTGGCTGTGTTCCTCTGCTTGCAGGGGCCTGAGGGCTCTGCTGCTGCACGTGAGCCCTGAAGAAGAATGCAGCTGGAAAAAACAGCTAATTTCCTTGCTTTGCTTCTAAAGAGGCATTGAAGCACTTGAATCTGAGTGCCAGAGTTGCTGTGTCCTATCACTTCAGCTGGAGGTCTGTATATTTGGGAAAGGTAGTTTCTCTGAAACTAGAAACCAGGTAAAACAAAATTTTGCAGTTGCAGAATCACTGGCATTAATCACCAAGACTGCTGCTTTCTCTGCCTAATGCACTTTGATGCTAATGAACAACCTTTTTTGCCCTAAAAGGCATCAGTCATTAGCCATAGCACTTGCAGCACATCCACAATGTATGTGGTTTGACCATTTAAGAAGATGAAGTCCTTCGCTGGAATAAATCCTGACAGTCTGGTCAAATTAGGTACAGGGAGGGAGAAGAATGTAAATGAAGTCATTTGGATTACTGAGCGGATTCCTTCACCAGGCTCTTTCCTTTGAGGTTTGTCAAAAAAATGGGATTTCTCAATCTCTGCCGCTTAATGTCAGGATGGTTTGGAGGTAATCTGACCACAGAGGGCTGGTTGGATTCACGTCCCCTCTCCTCAGGGGCTAGGGGCTCGCCGCAGTACCCTGATCTCCTCCCCATCACCTGCTCCACCAGGATCCAGCTAAATGATGCTCTGATGGCCTTGGAAATGGCTCCATCTGCAGGGAAGGTAGCAAGGCATTTCCTTTTCCAAAGACGCTGTAAGGGACCACTAGCTAAGAGGCGTTAGTTCTCCAGTTCTGCACAGTCCAACTCTGAGGATAAATTAGGCCAGGAGAGTTGGAGAGACTAGACAGATTTCCTTGTGGTGAACTCAAGAGGAAAGGGAAATCCAAGGGTAACCACCCATGGGGCACTGGAGCAGAGGCCTTTGAAGTCTTGATATTTGAGTGATCGTAAGAGGGTATTTCAGTAGCAGTGCTTTCCCTGAACATAGTGCACTATGGAAAGGGCTCATTGGCCAAAGTCTCCTGCCAAAGACGGCAACATAGTTGCTAGAAAGGGTCACTTAGCCCATGGGGAGCTTGTGGTGGTCTGGAGGCAGGACAGGAGCGGGAGCCTGCAGAAGAGATGAGGTTGTCACAGGCAGAAAAGATGGCATCTCCCAGGCAGGGCACATCAGGAGATGATGTGTCCAGCAGCGATGGCGGTGCCTCTGGCACAACCTCCTGCCCAGCGCTCACCCCCAGTCCTCTGTAACCA